ACAGATATAATTCTGTGACCCTGCAGTAATTAAATAACAGTCACCAGATCAGTGATCAAAAGTTATATTTCTGACATTAAAGGATGTAAACAATCAGTAACAGTTTTTGAATAAACATTTTTCCTATTTTATAAGTTACAGTGAAGTCAGAATATATGATAACAGCTGTCATATTCTGTGACCKTCTAACAATTCTATAACAATCAACATGTTTTGTGTCAAATGTTTYTTATTGATTAAAGGAAGTAAAATAACCCAACTTTATTTCTATTAGTTAAAGTGCTGTCACCAAATACGAAAACAGCCATAATAGTCTGTGACTAAGTTTTTTCATATGTTATAAAACAAACAAACAAACAAACAAACAAACAAGCAAACATTTTTTTCCAGGTTTTCCAGGTCATGTCTGAACCCTGCCAGCAGGTGGCGGTGGCGGACCACTAAAACGTTTACAACCACTCAACAAGAAGACGAGACATCAACATTATTAGACAAGTAAATCTGAAGCAAGAAGCATAATTAAAGAAAGTTTGAAGAAAGAGTGTCAGAAGAGATGGGAGAGAGATAACAAAGGCAGGTGGTTTTATAAGATTCAAAGGGTGGTCGGAGAAACGAGAGCTGGAAAAAGGAGCAGAAAAGAAGAAAGAGTGATAAAAAGGTTGAGATTTGGACATACAGGACTCAATTTTACACTTTTTGCAATACAAAAACATAATACAGGGAAATGTGATTATTGTAGACAAAATGAAACCATAGAACATGTTATAAAAGAATGTCAGAAGTACAAACAAGAGAATTTATGATAAGACAGTTCAGAAACATTAAGGAAATGTTTGACATAATAGATACATTACAAAGGAATTTATGGAGCAAACATATACAAATCATGATACGATTTTTGAAAAAGACAAAATTGTTTAACGGAATTAGAGTTTGATAGTAGTTTTTTTTACCCATTCGGAGACCTGCCTCCAAATTAATTTCTGATTTAAAAATCCTTCATATATGTTAATGTTTTACTCTACCCTCCCCATTTTTGTCTAGGTATTATTTGCTTGTTTTATTTTTCGGATTGCATAGTCTTGATTCCTTGATGGTTGTACAGCTTTTATTCTTTTTTTGTTACAAATTTTAGTATATCCTGTTCTGATTGTATATATTTTGATTTGCCTCTGATTGTACAGCACCTTGTGAATTTATTTCTATGAAAGGTGCTATATAAATAAAACTTTAC